GGGCATCCTCTGACTGACCCTGGTTTCATTGAAGCAGAACAGATTTCGGCATGAAATTTGGTGTGGTCTGTTGTGATTGCTCACTTTTTAGTAATGTCTCCAGAGAAGACATTCGCTGAGCCTATTTTCTTGTGGGTTTGTTCAGTTAGGGATTTTCGGAAGATTTAAGTTTCCGTAACATTCAAGGCCAGAGGTGTTGGAGAAAACAGTAGCCAATAATCTCGAGAGTCCAGGCCAGGGTGACTTTCAGTAGCATGAGGCAGCAGGTAGGTGGCTGACTCGGAGGTATGGGACCAGGTTCAGTGACTGGGCTCTGTCACTAATTAGCTGCTGTTGTCTGACCCTGGATGTTCTCTCTAGGACATGATTTTGCCAGACGTAAATGAAGGGCTTGAATTAGAAGATCTCACAGTCCCATTCCAGCTCTGCCACCGTAGAATTCCACAGTAGCCAATCCTCCTACCTAATCAGTGCTAATTGCCTCACTTGTAGTGCACCCTGGCACACCCTTAATGAGCTCCTGTTTTTATCTTCGGGGAATGGCTGAGTCAAAGGCAGAAAGGCATGCAAAGAATTTGCCAGAGTGTTTCACTTTGGCCAGGAATGCTCTAGATGTTGGCTTAGCCTATACAGGATGTGCAGAGCTGAAAGGGGTGGGGTTTGGCTTTCTGATAGGCCTGGTGCTAATCATTCAGCTTCCACGTGAATGTGTTTCAGTGGCAATGTCTCTGACTAAGAGAAGCATCCATCTTTAAGATGATGGATGATGATGATGACAGTTAATATTTGAGTACTTACTGGGTGCCAGGCATTATTACAGTTATTACATGGCATTATCTCAATACTCAAAATAATCTCATTTATAGATGAGGGTACTGAGGTTATGTTAGGCTAAGGGTTATGCTGATGTTCTTGGCTTTCCAGCTTGAAGCCCATGGCATCCCAAGCCCATCACCTGCCAGTCAGATTCTGTTTTCTATGTTCTGTGATGTCATCCAGACGGGAGCTGGGTCCATCACCTTCTGCAAAGTTGGTCACCCCATAGGGTAACCTGCTCCCCACCCCTGGAAGCTTCCTTTTCATGTGTAAGAAAAACGTTTAGGTTTTTTAGCCACCTGCTGGCAAGCATGTGTCAGATCTGTCTCAGCTTCCATTGGCCCTCCCCCTTTACTTCTTGTTCTGTTGACAAGGGAATCTGTCCTTACAGAACACGGGTATTGATTTAAGCCACAGTTGCCTCCTTGTAAACTCTATAAAATTGGAGCTGGACATCTGGTTTTGATCCACACGCCCATGAGAGGTGGTAGGTCCCAGTATTCTTGAGTCCTGGAATTGCACAGAATCAAAGTGAGAAAGAATATGAATGAAGAACATGAGGTCTCTTTAGAATTTGGAAGATGGTTTTCTTTGATAGGCTAGGGAACTCACACCATTTAGACTGGGGCCAAAGTTAAGACAGACTTCATCCTGGGAAGTTGCGGGGGCAAGGGTCACTGCTAAAGACTGAGGTCCCCAGGCAGTGTTTGATACAGAGCAGAGCAACTGTAGAGACCTCCAGCCAAGGATTTGCCACTGCATGCCACTCTCTGGGCAGTACCAGAAGTGGAGAAGCCAAACAGGTTCTTGGGGTGGATGTTGTCCTCTTTGAAGGTTGTGACTGAAGGCTCATTCCTTCTTCCTCCTCTCCCAGTGATGGTGGGAGAAATTTCCCCACCGTCACTACCACATATGCATCGTCAAGACAGTTAATGAGAGGTGACTTTGTTCTGTTCCTTACCAGTGTTCGCATGTACAAATAAATGTTGAACACTAACCAAATGCCTATTGGACCATAGGTACTCACAAATCATGTGTTTACTTTACTTGAAATTACTTTTCATGTGTAGGGTGACAACTTTTTTCTTTACATGGAGTATATAGCGTTTTGAAAACATAGCTGGCAAGGCGCGGTGGCTCACACCCGCAATCCCAGCACTTTGGGAAGCTGAGGCGGGCAGATCACCTGAGGTTGGGAGATCGAGACCAGCCTGAGCAACATGGAGAAACCCCTTCTCTACTTAAAAATGTAAAATTAGCTGGGCGTGGTGGCACATACCTGTAATCCCAGCTACTCGGGAGGCTGAGGCAGGAGAATCACTTGAACCTGGGAGGTGGAGGTTGTGGTGAGCCAAGATCGCACCATTGTACTCCAGCCTGGGCAACAAGAGTGAAACTTCTTATCAGAAAACAAACAAACAAACAAACAAAGCTGATAGCCAGGTTCTTGCAATTTACTTCACCTTTCCTTCTGTTTCTGGGTCTAAGACACCAGCATTTAAATATATCCTCCTTTGGCCCTTAGGGAGTTTGTCTCAAGTTCTCAGCCTGAGATTAGCTCCATCCCATGTCTACAGGACCTGTTCCTAATAGTTTATAAGGTACTTCCACTGGGTTCAAGAGGAAGACACAGCTCTAGAAATCACCTGCTTTCCCAACAGGTGTGTCCCGTGGTGGGGAAGAAGCCCAGTCTTTCTAATACTCACCTGGCTACCTTAAGTAGCTTGCCACATTTCCCCTGCAGAGAGCCTAGACTAGCTGTGTGACTTTAAGGAAATCACTTTCCCTCCATGGGCCTCCTTTCTTTTCCTGGAAAAGGGAGGAGTTGGACTCACTAGAGGATCACAAGGACCCGACCAGTGTGATAGATCACATCTTCCATGATTCTGCTGCTACCTCGGCCTCACACTGTGGCCCATGCCTGGGATTCTCAGGTATCCCTGCTGGGCTGGAGGACTTATGTGGAGAGATGTGGAGGGGTGGAGGAGGAAATTAAGTTATGTGATGCCAGATAAGTCATTGAACATATGGATTGCATGTTTATGAAGCACTGAAGTAGCAAGCTTGCCAGATTCATGGCGGATCTTGGATTGGAAGTTGGGAGTATGGGAGAGGTTTATGTGGGATTAAAATTGTCTGTGGGCAGCTGAATTCAATAAGCTGAATCAGGGAGATCCCAAACTATGAGTAGAGAGATCAGACTCCGCCTCTAACTCCACCAGAGACTGACTACAATTTTGGGAAGGCCCTGAACCACGCTAGGTCTCACTTTCTCATCTGTTAAGAGCTACCGGCTTTGATTATCTCTAAGGTCTTTCTTGACTCATCATTAATTAAATTGTGGGAATTGGGGGCTAGTAGAAAAACCTGGACAAATGCATGGATGGAGGAGGGGATACCTCAAAAATCCTAAATATAGAGGGAAACATTCTGTGCAAGTGATACCTCTATTTTTTGAATTGGAGATAACATCAGAGGATATATTCTGTACATGTTGTGTTTCAAATGCTCACCCCTCCATCATCACCAATGATATTGAAATCATCCTTCACGTATTTGCTTAACCTGGGAAGCCTCCCTGCATTTCCCCAGAGAGTCTGGGGCTCCCTTCCCAGCCTCCCGATGTTAGACCACTTAGCAACCTGTGTTTAACTTGCATTCCTAGAATATGAACTTCACCGAAAAAGGGATCTGTTGTTTTCATTTGTGTGTCCCCCAACACCTTGAATAGTGACAGCCACAGGAATGTGTTGAGTGAATGAATTGTCTCTGTGACCACTTGTGACACAGCATGACCGGTCATCGTGAGCTCAGAACGTGCAGCAGCGATGTGGCAGTACCAGAAACTGGTCTCAGAGAGGCAGTGTACCTTGCCAGGGCTTCAAAACTGTGTTACCTTGATCTCCCTTTTGGCCTGTCCCAAGGCTAAGGCCATGAATGCTCAGTGCTTGCTGGCCAGAAAAGGCTGTTACTACTCTCTCTTAGAGACCCTTCTTCTCCATGTCTTAACCTGCACAGTTCCTCTGCAAATTGGGGCTCTTGGTCACGGGGAATTGGATGTCATTCCATATGCAGTAGAGTAATCCCCCCTTAGACACTGGAAAACAACTCAGAACACACGTGTAAAGATTACCCATTAAGCTTCCTGTTCATGGCCATGTGCTAGATGTTGGAGAAGATGCAGAGATGAATGTGGTGATGGTGGCCTTGGGGTCTGGAAACTGATGAAGGAGACAGACAGGTACAGTCATAGTGCCCCAGGGAGAACAAGGAAAGCAAGGAAGATGGAATGCAGGGTATCCACTTCAGGGGTTGTTTTTTAGTACGAGCCATGATAGAGACTCCTGTTGGTTCAGGAGCAAGCTGGAGAGCCCAGGAATGGTCACCACTTCCACATGACAGTGGTTTTCTTGTCCCTGAATTCCAATGGCTAGGTGATGGATGCTCAGAGACCATTGTGATGTGAGCCCTTGGTTCTTGTGGGGAAAGTCGGGGGAACATGCATATTGTACGGGTGTTGGAGCTGGGGGAGGTGAAGGTGTGCGTGCTTACGGGTGTACTTCTCAGAAGTATCCCTGCTTGTGGCATGGTGGGAGTGAGTCCACCTCAGTCCCCTAAGCTGTGCTTCTACCTCCTGCCTGATTACACAGCGTGTATTGTCTCTGTGACCACTTCTGACACAGCAACAGACTGCCATCTACTGTCCACTTCTGTCCTTGGAGTCCCTCCTGCTCAAGGAGGCATTCATTTTTTTTCTTATCCGGACACCAGGAGAAACAGAAGTGGAGTCCTATTTAGTAATTTATTTTAGAATTTAGAAGGAAGCCTTTAAAAAACAACACATCCGTCAGATGGTTTTCTTTTTTTTTTTTTTTTTTTTTTTTTTTTTTTTTGGAGCTAGCTGAGATTTTATTTTGGACCAAAAAAAAGCCAATTGAATTGTTTTGCAGCTGGTTTTCTTCTCTGTTTGCAAAGTATTGTCGTTAAGGGGCCACTCTGCTGCCACTGAGTCTCGCCAGCCACCGTGCTAGGCGCCGTGTGGAATACCGAGAGATACAAAGCGAAGCCTTACCTTCAACTGCCTTGCAGTCTGCTTGGGAATACGGGGTAGATTTGCAGAGAGGCAGATTGCAGGATGTGACAGTAGCTATTTGGTAAGAGGCATCAGGGTGGTAGGCACTACAGAGGTTTTGGGAGTTCGGCGGAAGGAGGAGCCCTTGTGGGCTGGGGGATTTGGGAAAGACAAATGTGGGTCTCCTTTTAGCAACCCCAGTGTTTGGGAAGAGACTTTTAAGAGCTGCACGATGCTGTGAGACAGGCTGTGAACCAGAAACTCTGGAACCTGGAGGGCCTGAGGTCTAGTCCAGCTTCTGTCAGTCTTGCCCTGTGACCCAGGGCCTTGGGTTCTGTATCCTCAAAGTGAGGCTGTTGGTCTTCTTGTCATGTAAGGGCCCTACCATCTCTGACCCTGGGAGCGTACCACTCTTGCATGCAGTGGGAAGTGGTTTCCTGGTTTCCCACTTGTCAAGAGCAATAGAGTCAGTTGGATCCTGTGAGGGAAGGATACCTGGATTCAGGACCCCGTGATGACCCTGCACACAGCAGGAGAGGGAGAATTTCCCAGAGGAATTTTGGGTACTGTTAAAATACAAAGTGAGGAAATGTTCCCTGTGGCCTCTGCATGCTGCTCCTCTCCAGAACTTTCCCGGACTTACCTTCCAAAAATATATGTGCATGGTGCTTTGAGTCCAAGATAGCTTCCCCAAAAGAAATTGCATTAGTATTCCAGCATTGTTCATAGCTCAAATATAGGATTCCTTCACACTGGAATTCATTTTGTGATTGTTTTTATGGAGGCTTTCTTTGAGATTTGAGACTTTTTGATGACTGTGGATTAAAATGGGGGAAAAGATTGTTTTCTGTAACTAAGTCACTTCTTGTCTCTTTTTCTCTGTCTTTCTTAGCATTTAAACCACCACCAAGGAAATCTCCAGTGAGTTTATTGCATATTCTTGTCTTTTGATGTGTGTGTGTGCATGACAGAGAGAGAGAGAGAGAAAAAAAAAGAGGGAGATGGGAGAGAGAGAGCACAAGAGATAAAGATATTCTAGACTGTGGTCTATAGCAAGTCTAGGAAATCAAGTTGAATTTGGATTGGGTTACAGGTTGAGAGACCTCAGCTCCTCACTGTAATCCTGACATTTCCCTTTTACTTTTTGGCTCTTGTCTGAATCAAGAATACATCTTCCCATTCCCCTGTTCTGTGTTTACATCTCCTTTTGCGGCAGCTGTATAAAGTTACTGTCTGTCTACAGCAAGTCTCCTTAGTTCTCTGGGGGACTGTTCGACAGAGGCACAGTCAAGGATAGAGCCATTAGAGAAGGTCAGCTTTTGGACGAAGAGAACAAAAATATGTTGGGGAATTGGAGAAAGATGCCCATTGTCGATCATGTGTTTTCCTGTGGTATGCCGACGTCTGTGACTGTTAACCACAGAGAGAGAACATGAGCAGGGGCTGGGACAGAGATAAAAGGGAGATTCTCCCCAAACCAACCCATGTGGAAAGAAAGCAGGAGTTCCCCAGCAATAGACGTGGAGCCAAACAACCCGGGGAAGCAACTAGGAAACTTCCTGGTGACCTGTGATGTGTTTTGTAATCACTGGTGAAAGTGGGAGGAGATGGGGTAAAGGTACAGGTAGAGGACGTTCCATGGGAAGAGATCACAAGGTGAGGGAAAGCAGGGGCTTCAAGCACTGAAAGAAGGCCAGGGAGGGGATGAACAGAGAGCAGCGTAGGCTGATGTGGACTGCATGGTGGAGAGGTGGGCAGGAGACAACCGGGAGCTCGCTGTTTTGTCCCAGGGCCGTGGGAGCTGTGGAAGACACTGAGGGCACAATAGAGCTTTTGTTTTGTTTTTTTTTTGTTTGTTTGTTTTCTTTTTGTTTTTTTCCCATATCTTTAGTGTTCTTTTTATTTTTTTTTTAATTACAGATTTACAATAAAAAAAACATTGAGGAGCTTTTGTTTTAAAAAGATCCCTCTGGCTGCAATGTGACTCTTAATAAAGAGTTGTTCAGTGAAGAAAGAAATGGTTGATGGTTGGGTTGATGAAAGAATTAATGAATGAGCAAACAAGTGGTTGAGATGCAAAGGGAACCCAGCAAGCCTGATTTGATCTCTGGTTACTTTGACCAGTACTAGCTCCAGGGGTGATTATCTCAGCCTGGCAGGCCAGGGAGCAATGCATTCATTAGAGTGGCTCTGGGTGAGGACACATGGATTACAGTATCTGAACTTTAGGGTAGTTGGCAGTGGGGAGGACCTCTGAAACTTTTTCCTTCTTCTGTGCATTTCCATCCTAATTTGATTTCATTCAGGATCAAAAAAAAAGATGGCTTTTGAAATCACATCCCAGAACATTTGAAACTATGGCAATGACTTCCGCCAGAGAGGGCTGCTTGCGTGGAAGACCTTTTCATAGGCTTATCATGGAGCAGGACAGATGGTAAAATTTCTTGAGCCTATGAAGCGGTCCCAGATTTCTAAACATCTGATCCACCCATAGATGATTGCTGTGGATTAAAGAGTGTGTGTGTGTGTGTGTGTGTGTGTGTGTGTGTGTGTGTGTGGTGTGTTTAAAGTTTCAAAGTCTCCTGAAAATTACCAAGTGCTATCAAACTTTTTTTTTTTTTTGGTCAGTAGTAGATACCTAGAGAATTTCTTGCGAGGTCACATTGTTTAGCATGTATAAGGAACATGTGTGTGACAGAGACTCGGACTGACACCCGGTGTGCCATCCAGTTGCTTGGGAGGTGGGAATGCTCCTTGGTAAAGCCAAAGGGAGCCAAAGGGGACCTCTAGTGTCTTTGCTCTCCCATATCCTGACTATTCCAATCTCACCTTGCATTTTGAGGCCCTTTAACTTTGGCTAACAGTGGTAGTTGCTCAGAACGTCATTCAGGCCAATTAAATTTGAATGTCTAGAGTTGAGACAGAAGCTCACGAGGTGATTGCAGTGTACAGCCATGTTGAAAAGCACTAGCTGACACTACTAACCTACTCTGCCCTCCTCCCTGCCTTTAGGCAGCTTTGCCGTGATATCTGTCCCATCACCACCTCAGTGTGCTGATGAGAACTCACTCAGTTAAGGAAGTTCTACAAAGAATGTTCAACTAATTGGGCTGAGCCCTCCTATTCCCTGCAAATCCAGCATTTGCCTCAGAAGTTGGAGGCTAGGAGGACAGGACACGTTCTTAGCAGATTCTGAAATGCTCACCATCTCTCGTCTGCTGAAGGCGGCATTATGGATGAATGGCAGGGAACATTGGGGAGAAAGATCAGCATCCATAGGGCAGTAACAATGTGTAGTCACCTCTTTATACATGTCATTCTAGTTCCCCTGACAACTCTCAGAAGCAGATATTATACCAGGCTTGCATGTGTCATCTCCTTAGTTCCCCCAACAAGTCACAGAGGCAGACGTTATACCAGGCTTGAGTACACAGTTTACATAATGCATTCATAATGCAAAGTGGTTTGTAATCCCTGAATGATCAGATTTCCTACACTGGTTCCCCCCAATAATTTGCCTATCAGCCAGATACCTTCCTCTACGGTTAACTCAGGGCTGCTGATTTCTGGCACTGGTGGCTCAATGGGAAGGAAAACACCTATCTCCTCTCTCTGCTCGGTGGGATTCAGAAATCTTGGGCTGGTCCTTCCAGGATGCCCAACCTGAGGACATGTTTTAACCAACAGGCCTTTATATTGAGAAAATAGTAGTTCCCTTCCTTGCCATTTCCCTGTTAGAAAGCCATGGCTTCCAGGACAGACGGGGAGTAGAGGTTCAGAGAAAGAGGCTAAAAAAACAAGACCCAAAAAAGTTAAGTTTCCAACCATATATTCCCAAATTGTAAAGTGGACCATATGGAATCATTGTAATCCCTGTGTTTCTCATTTACAACTTTTGCAAAAGATATTACCGTGTATTCTGTCAGGCATGCTGGAGCCGGATGTCTAGTACCCATTGCTGAGTGCGTGCTTCAGTCAGAGCTTTGGACTTGGGATTCTCCAGACTGCCAAGTGACCTGTGGGTAGTTTAGGAACATAATGCTTGGAGTGAGCCACACCGGCCTGATGTGAAGACCGGATGGTAGCCCGGGAGAGCAGGCTGGGTAGTGGTGCAACCATAATCTGCAGTGGTGGGCAGGGGGTGGGGACAGGCTTCTTCTGCACCAGGCACTACTAAGTGAACTGTACATCGCAGAGACAAGCCCTGCTGAGAGCAGTGGAAGCAGAAAAACACAGGCCTATCTCTGTGTCTACCATGTAAGTAAGTCTCTCTTGGCTATGTCTACCTGCCACCATTGCCCCCTCCCACCCCAAATATACAGCGTCACCTTCAGCTGTGGCTTTTGTTTTTTGATCAGGGGACTGTAATGTTTCTAGAAGGGAGAAGAACAATGAACAGAAGGATTTATGTATGGATGCTGGGCAATTTATTTTTCAAAGTCTAATCTAGAACATGCTCATAAGAGACCGTGAATTGAGTAAAAAGTTGACTATAATATTAAGGACTACTAGGCACAATGACTGAAAGAGGAGTTAAGAGTGATCCTTCAATAATTCCCCTATGGGATTACACACATTTAAGAAAAAATGTTATTCAGGTTATTTCTGCCTTAGAGCTAAGCATCATTAGAGCGAAACAGAGAGAGAACTAACCCTTAAGCAGGAGGACCCAAGTTCTCATTCTGTTTCTGTCAATTACCGTAGGCATAACCTCTCAAAGCTTTGGTTTCTTCTTTTGTAAAGTGGCATAATAATGCCTACCTATTTAACACAATTAATGTGGGGTTTCAGATGAGATGATGCGTAGGGTCGCTTGGCAAGCTGTAAATTACAAATATATGTTATAGTTTCAACTGATACATTCCTATGTGAATAGCACATTGCTCTATTTGGAAGATGGCTCTTCTCTAAGTCAGGCTGGGATAAAGTTCCCTGAGGAGAGACACTGCAGGTACCTAGTTATTGCCAAAACATTGATTGTTTCTAGGAAGCTTGAGGAAGCACTATAAGGAATGGGAAGAAATGTTACAGCCTGGCTTAAAAGAATAACAATGTATCAGTCTACCTATTTCTGATAATGTCATATTGCGGTAAGAGACTCAGGGTAGCTTTGTGAGGGTCATGGGCATGCACTGCACTGTAAAAATGGTGTCCAGGAATCCTGGGTTTATTTCAGTATGAGTTGCCTACCCCTTCTGCCAACCCAGTCACCTACTTCGCCCACAGCTGCTCTTGATGAGGTCTGTGCACACACTTGCAACTGTGTGTGAAACAGAGCTTCTCCTCTTATATGAGAATAGATCTGGTTGCAAATCTAATAGATTCCCCTACCAAGATGACTCCTGCCTTTTTTGTTTACTTCATTTATGAAAATACCCTTGAAACGTCCATTGTCCCCTTTTGTAGATATGGTGCTTCATGTCTTTGAGGTTGTCAAATCCTCACGCTCCTTTCTGATTGCTCTTTTCACCTGTTCTTTGGGTTTTGGCTTTTCTGTTGGTGGAGTTTGCTGTTTCTTTTCATGCTGCAGGCTCTCCTGAGTTGGATGGTTGCTAATTCTTCTTGCCAGTTTATCTTCTGTGGCAGAGTCTCTGACATGCCTTGGATGTGGTTTCCATGCTTGGCTTTAGCTTTTTATATGGACTCTCGTGTCCTGAATGTTTACCTTCTTTGAAGGATTTCTTTTAGCTCCTAGCCAATGAAAGTCCCCCTTCTTATTGTCAAGCCTCGACAGTAATTATTGTATTGCACTGTTTTGGGAGTAGTGCTGGAAGGACTTGCTGATGGATGAGTGGTGGAGAGCAAGGGCAAGAAGGATATAATGGAAAAAGGAGCTTCCCTCCCCAGAAGGAAGCTGTCCCCATTGTTCTTGGATTCCTAAGGCCTACCAAAAAGAGCTGACTTACTTTACAGTTTCTGAGAGAACTGTGTGTGCTGTTACTAGGAGCACAAGAGAAAGAAAAATAGTCAGAATGTTCAGTATGCTTCATTTATCTAATGTGAAAAACGAACTCTGCCCAGTGACTTAACAGGCATAAACTCTGTTTCTAAAAAAGCCACTTCTGAGTTCTTGATATGGTAAGGTATTGTGTTCTGTGCTGGAGAGAAATACAAAAATGCATGGTTCCTCACCTCCAAGAACTTATAGTACATGTAGGGAAATAAGACAACCCCGCCTGAATAACACTTAAGTTGGAAATGACTAGGACCATGGAATGCAGCATGCAGAGGGCACTTGGAGTTCTAAGACTTCTGATGGGTGATTGAGGAAAGCCCTGGATCAGTGAAGCATATTTTAAGGGATGGGGATAGCACAGACAGCACAGGGGTAGAAACACGTGTGGAGTGTCCGGGGCTTGACCAGTATCCCTGAAAGGAAGGGCGCGTACACAGAGCATTTAAAGGAGCTCTGTCTCAGGGCAGCTTCCCTCAGCCCCTCCCAGGGCATTGAGGCACACTCTCATGGCTCTTCTCTTTTTTTCTGCTTTCAGTGTGTTCTTTGAACTTTTTAGAAACTTCCCCAGGGGTCTTCTCGTCTGGTCTTCGTTTAACACTGCTCCATCTCATGGCGTTCTACGTTTTGCAGGTTGTAGTGCTTGAGATCCAGCCTTCCCAAATGATTTCTCTGAATTTAGCATTTGGTGTGCGTTTTGCTATCTTGCTGCCATCCTAGCCCCAGCAGAGAAAAGACTTACCTGGAGTATGCACAGGGCTTCAGAGAATACCCTAAGCTTCCTGACTCCTGAATTTACAGAGCTCTGCCAAACCTGGTCTTGCGAGACTGAGAAATGCGCTAACAAGCCATCCTCTTCGGTGTCAAGTGCAGACAAATCACTTAGCCCCTCTGAGGTCCGCCAACAGTAAGCTACTGGTTTTTGAAACCCCAGGATAATTCATCTGATTTCAACCCTGCATTTAGTCACTTAAAACATTCTCGCACATGCATTTGCTGGCTCACGTACATACAAATATACACACATCTCTCTTTGTGCCCTTTCCTAGACTCTGATGATTTCTTCTCCTCCAGGAGGCAGGAATCCAAGACTTATAAAACATGACTTCTGGAAAGTTTTTTCTTCTGCTCAGCCAGGGTATCATTTTTTTTCTGCCTTTCCCTGGAGAATCATTGGCCCCTGGCCTAGTGGTTGGGGCAAGGATCAGAGATACCTTGCATTCTGGGGTTTGTCCTTAAAGGCTGGGTGGGACTCTGCATCGGGTCTGTAGCCTGGCTCCACTCTGGTACAGTAACTAATCTTTTGACTCCCAGATGGTCCAAAATGTGTGGATTTAGAGGAGCAACAGACAGCCCTTCCTCTGGGCCTCTCCAAGAACACAGTTTGATGTCTAGACACCCTTAGAGAAACACGACAGAGGAAATAATGATGGAGCAGCATGGGAACAGGTGAAACCCAGACCTTGTGCCTTGTTAAATTCCATCCGGGAGTGGAGATACCAGAAGAGCAGATATTACCTTTATTGAGTGATAGAAATGATTGGGGATTTCTCTGCTTTCTTGTAGGGTTGGATAAACCCCAAAGTGAAGAGAGATTTGCTTTTTGTTTTAGCTATTAGGAAACTCAAGACCCTGCTGCAGTGCTATTGGTTTAATTTTTCCCCATCACATTGCCTCTGCAACTTCGGAATGGTTGCAGCCATTGCTTAAAATTTCCCTGCATTGTCACTCAGGCAACAAGAAACGATTTCATCATTTTCCTCTTAAAATAATGGTTGTGAATAATACTTATTGAACTGGGAACCATGCTCAACACTCTGTCTGTGATCTCAGGAATCCTCACAGAACTCGATTAAATAGCAATTTTATTATCTCATTTTTGCAGACAAAGCAACTGAAAACTCCACACATTTTTTACATCGCACCTAAGACCGTCGGAAGAACTATGTTTTACTTGTTTCTCTAATGTATGACCTGTTCTTTCTATGATAATGTAAATTCTGTGAGGACAGGGCTTTTTGGATCCTTGCTTCAGTGCTATATCTCCAGCACCTGGACTAATACATGGCACCTGGCAGTTACTTAGTAAAGGTTTGTCAGATGACCAAGTAACTCACCCAAGGTTAAATGTCTAGGAAGCGGTGGCAACAAGCTTAGGATGACTCTTTTCTGATTCCAGAGTTCAGACAGTCCTAACCACTATCTCACGCCACCTTCTTGTTTATTTTTAAACCATGTTCCTTCTCTTCAGCCCCTCTCCAGTGCCTTACACCTTCCTGCTGTTATTATAAGAACAGCCACAGTGGGCTACTGTGTCCCTCTTCAGGGTAGGCTCATCCTACTCTGCCTCCTTACCACGGTCCTTAAATCAGTAGCTATGGTTAATACATTTAGTTCTTTTAACCTAATCTGAAAAGCAAAGCATTTGCTTCCTTAATTCAAGGTTTTTGGCTTTCCCCGGATTAAGCTTAAAGCCAAAGAAGTACCACAACACTGGGGCTGCCAGGACTACCTCTTTCTTGAACCTAGTCAGTAGGAAGTAGAAAGATAACAGCTAGGGCTTTGGGGGTCCTTCCAGAAGTCATTGTGACATACAGCGTTGTTCCGGATTATGAAGGAAATATCTGTTCTCACACATGTTCAACGTAGAGAGTTAAGAAAATGGGAAAAGAATAAAGAGCAAAACCATGACCAGAAATACCATCAATACCCTTTGACATCCTTTCTGTGTGTGTGTGTGTGTGTGTGTGTGTGTGTGTGTGTCTTTGTTTCTGGGTCTATATATAGGTGTTTCCTTTATTTTTATTTTTTAAATTTTATTTTATTTTTAGAGACAGGGTCTTACTTTGTCTTCTAAACTTGTGTCTGGTGGCGTGGCAATCATAGCTCACTGCAACCTGCAACTCCTGGCCTGAAGCGATCCTTTCACCTCGGCCTCCCAAATTGCTGGGATTACAGGTGTGAGCTGCCATGCCCAGCTCCTTTCCATAAATAAGGGGCTCATCATACTACACAAACACTTTTTACCTGGCATTTTCCAGTCACTATTGCATTGTATGTATCTCCCCATGCCTTTAATTATTCTTGCATAAGATGATTCTTCGCTGCATAATATTCCATCATGTACAACACTCTTTCACCATTTTGCTTCTGTGGCACATTTTCATTTTGGTCACACTTTTTATACTACAGTTACCATCCTTTTACATACATTTGAATACACCTGTCTCTCTGGTTATTCTCTCAGAATGGATTTCCGGAAGTTACCTTTCCAAGCTTGGAGATGATAACATTTTAAAGAAAGGTGGTTGTTCTTGAAAGCCCTGACAGCTGTGAGTGGGGAGCCGGGGCTGAAAGGAGAGCAGAAAGGCTCACTCTGGCCAGCCCTCATGTACCCACACATCCCCCCACCTGGGGCAGCCTGGGAAGAGCACCAAGGATTATGAGAAAGACTGTCACCTCCCTTACCTACATTAGCTGACCCTCTAAGCATATGTGTTTTCTTGAACTCCCGACCTCAGGTGATCTGCCTGCGTTGGCCTCCAAAGTGCTTGGGTTACAGGCGTGAGCCACCGCGCCCGGCCATGTTTTCTTGTTCTAATTTTCAGATTGTCTTCTCCTATCTTCTCTCCCCACGCCCCACCCCGGCCTTATAGCTAAGAGCACATCTCACATAGAGCAGTGGAAAAGAACCTTGGGGCAGGAGCCAGGCTGACTTGGCTTCGAATCCCAGCTCCATCACTCACTGGCCAGGCGACCAAGTAAGATCCTATATATATCTGTCATCCTCAAGTTTCTCATCTGTAAAATGCGGATAATAGTGTAACTACCTTATGGGATTGTGTGAGGATTGTGTAACTGAACGCATGTAGAATGCTTAAAACAAAACCTGGCCTATATGAGGTATTTAATATATGGTGTATTAAATTAACCTTGAACAGAATAAATTAATAACAATGATGAACATTTCTGATACCTATTTTCCTATTGTTTTGACTCCCAAGCCTGTTATAAGCATATTTGACACTGTGGTGTATGTGCGACTTACTGCAAAGACTTTTTTCCAGTCCCCAATACCAGCTCTCTCTTCACCTTCAGTGTTTCCTATCCTCCTGCCTCCCCTTCCCTAAGAACACCGCTGTTTTACAGAGTGTAGGCTTTCCTCTGGTTTCCAGATCTGCCCACATGTGCACGTTTCTCTTTTCCATCCCTCTTGGACTCTCTCTCCTTATCAGCTTATTTGTTCCAGTTGGGAAGAACTGGAGCCTGGTCAGCTCTTCCCGTTGGCTTTAGCTGTGCACTGCATTGTAAAACTCTTCTCTCTGTTGCCTAGAAATCTCTTTGATCCATGTTTACCTGTATTTGCTCTCCCAACAGATGTTTTGGGTAGCGAGAGGATTTTCTTCCCCCATTTGCCTAGTCTCATGCCCCTTCACACTTCCCCTTGCTCAGGATCTTTTCCCCAGCTGACCACAGACAGGGGCCATCTGTCGTGAAGGTCTCCCCGGCCCAGAAGACTAGGAGTGGCCCAGCAACCAAGACTTTCTGAATAGCTTGTTGAGGGGGAGGAACGAGGAAGATGTTGGGAAACTGTGTAGGGTACAGTTTGAGTTTCTTAGACAGATTCCAGGAGCTCTTTTGATCCAAGATCTACATGATTTGGCTTGTGCTCTGTGGCAGGTTAACCAAAAAAAACATGACCATTCATTGCCTCTTGTAGACAACAGAGTGAGGCCCTTGGGCATGGCAGGTAGCCTAAGGCTACCCTTGAGAGTTGGGAAGTGTATGAGTCTCCTGGAGCTGCCATACCAAAGCACCATAAACTGGGTGACTTAGCACAACAGAAATGTATTGTCTCACAGTTCTGGAAGCCAGAAGTCCAAGGTCAAGGCTGTGGTCACGGCCATGTTTCATCTGAAGACCCTGGGAAGCAGCTGCCCCATGCCTTCTCCTAGCCTCTGGCAATCTCGGGCTTACAGATGCAGCTGTCAGATTCTGTGTCTTCATATGGCTTTCTCCTTCGTCTCACACCGTCTTCCCTCCGTGCATGTCTGTATTCAGATGTCCCTTTTTAGGAGGACGTCAGCCCTATTGCATTAAGGTCCACCCTAATGATCTCACTTTAACTTGATCACCTGTGTAAATACCTTATTTCCAAATAAGGTCCCGTTCTGAAGTACTAGCACGTTAAGACTCCAGCATATCTTGGTGGTAGACACAATTCAACCCATAATGGGAGGGAAAGATGTTGCGGACCTGTAACTCCTCCACACACCCACAGAGTACAGGGTGAGCTGTGTGCTAACACACAGTCAGTTCTCTTTGAGCTGAGGAGGCCTGGGGCAGGGCCCCAATGTGGGGGTCTCTGTCCATGCCAGCAACAGTAATAGCCAAGGAGGAAAGCATCTCATTTTCCTTGGCTCACTTCAGCTTTTCGATGTTTTTAGCACAATGCCTGCCTTGCTCTTCCAACAATTTGGGAGTCTCTGGGAGCAGTGCAGGGAAAGCAAGGAGGACAGCCAGTAGGGAAAAGGGGGAGTAGACGGAGGGTATTGGAAAGGAGAGGGCCTGGGAGGGCAGAGAGGCCCGGAAGGTACAGCGAGCAGAGTGGCGCATTGGTGGGGAGGAGCAGAAGGCTGCTTGGAAGCCCGGAGTGCTTGTCCTGGCCCTGCCGTGAGGCTGCATCCCTGTGGCCTAGGCACTTCACATCTCCAGCCTCAGTTTCTCTGTAGGTGAGACTGGGCAGTGGATGGGTGCTCTGTAGGATCCCTTCCTGGACAGAACAGCATTCTCAGCTGGAGCCTAATGTGTGGAGCAAATGGGAGCACTGGACTCCAACCTCCTGCAGCAAGCACAGCCCCTCT